TGTATATGTATCTTCAAAATTGAAATCTTAAATACACGGGAATATGTGTGTGTGTTATTATTATTCAATGGTTACTAAGTGTTTATTAAAGAAACTCTATTCTATGTAAATAGATAGTATATTTCTTAGCAACAAAAATATGATGTTGTAAAGAATTACATATTAGCATTTCTTTTTTCGACTAAAATGGGATTCTCTTAATAGATGTGTTATAGTACGAGAAAATGAGTTTTTTTTTCTTTTTTAATAAAAGTATTTATTTTCTTCCAGATTTTTGATTTTAATTTATGTTCATCTCGTATATGAAATACAAGTTTTAATGATTCATTTGTTTTTGTATTCTCACTCTCTTCCATTGTAATGGATATTTTCTTGTAATTATTTTAAAATGAATATTTTATAATAGAAAAATTAAAATCTGTCTAGTAGAATTCTATTTTAAAGATAAAACAAAACGAAAAAAAAATAATTAATTGATATACCTGATATCGATTATTAGATTCAACATGATGATCATCTATAGTCGTTTTATGTGTTGACGGTATCGTATCATTAGTAGGATAATTTTCATCAATATTATTAGGGATTGTTGATCGATCATTATATGTTTGTTTTTGAGAATTTGAATAATCATTCAATAGAGTATCTTGATTATATGTTGATTGTTGAGCATATCTATCATTCGAATAATATTGAGGTTGTTGAGTTGAATAATCATTATTTGAATAATTAGATTGAAGATAATCATTTGAATACGGTTGTCTTCGTTGATTATCTGTAAGATGAGTATCATAATTAGTTGTTAGATATTGATTAGAAGGTGATATTAATGATCCAACACCTGTATCATATGTACCTATAGAAATAATATTTTTTTTGTTTTTGCTTAATTAAAACAATTTCTAATATCATTTTTACCATAATTAGCCGCATGAAAAAGATCTCCTTGAGATCCAAGACCAGCATATGTATTAGATGGTAATGTTGTATAGGATGTAGCAGCCATTAGTATGTAAATCAATTGATCAATAACAAAAGTAAAATGTACAATGATGCCATTTCGTTAGACAAGCAAAAATTGGTAGCGAGTAAAACAAGAAAGAAGTGTTTTAAACAAACACAACGACGAAGTAACAAAAAAAAAAAAAAGCAACGAAGGCAACAATGGAAGCTTATCGAACCTATTTGCTTCATTTGTTAATGTTGTTGACCATGAGTGAACAACGATAGGCATGGTAATGTCAAGGTAGAAAAGAGTAGAAAAATAAAGAAGGAATAGTTTGAAACAATGACAATGTTCTCAAAGAGAAGAAAAAAAAACATCTAATGCTATTCACAATGCACAAAAGAAAGAAGAAAAGTAAATATTAAGTAATCAAATATCATTCAATTAGTGTTTTACGTTCCAAAAAAAATTATCGTTTATTTAAAATACGATACAAAAAAAATTAGTTATGAAATAAAATTATCTAAAATATATTGACGAGTATAATATAATGATTTATGAAAATAATTATTTATTGATTGAAGTAATATTAAAACCATGATCAATATAAATTAAATATAAAAGTAGATAAAAATCGATTAGATTTTTCATCTAATGTTACTCGTTCAATATAATATATTAAAAGAGATAAATAATTTTCAATTTTAAAACGTTGACATAAATAAATAATATGTGAAAAATAATGACTATAAACAAATATAATTTGCATAATAATTTGTATACTATCAAAAATTTCTTTTGTTAAATTAATATTTATAAATATATTCCAAGCAAATTTTTCTAAATCATTTCGTTGTCGAATTAATGAATAAAAAATAAATATACGTTCACAATTATTTCCAATAATTGCATAACATAATGATGAATCAATTTTATATTGATTAATTAATAAATCAATTATATATAAACGATTTTTATATTCAATACATTGTAATGATGATATATATGATAAACATGAAAGAGCATAACGAACTTTAAAAATAAATATTAAAAAATTTTATAATTATAATTCATTTTATATCAATACTTACGTATATTATAATCAATAGCATTTTCCACAGATATATCCTCTTCTTCACGTTCTCTTTGGTCTTCTTCTTTTGTTTGTAAAATACGATCTAAAAGGAGTGTTGAAGTATAGGGATACAAATTTAGACAGACACCCTCGTCTTCACATATCGTGACAAACATCTTGGTAGAGTCCTGTGAGACAGTCCTAAATTCCGAAGAATCTTATTTGTTCCGCAGAACTCTATGGCTTGGCAATGTCCACCTCCTCTCCGTGACAGACCTGGTTGTAGTGATCAGCGGAGTTGCATTTTTTCATTCCGAAACCCGACTCCGACTCCGAAAAAAAATTTTCTTTCGACTCCGATTCCAACTCCGACTCCGAGAAGAAATTTTTGTAGTTTATCGACATAAAATTCATACAAAGGTTCGATATTCTGAAAGGAGAAAAACAATTGGCGACTCAATAAGAAATAAAATACAGTTTATTTTGTCATAAGAAACATTTCGTCATGTTTTTTTTCAGAAACAAAAAAAGAGAAATTATGAGTAACAAATTTTAACACATAATTGATGATTAGCGGAGTCAAACTTTTTGTTTCTGAAACCCGACTCCGACTCCGAAAAAATTTCCTCGACTCCGATTCCAACTCCGACTCCGTTGGAGTCGGAGTCGGAATCGGGTTTCGGAGTCCTGTGCAGTTCACTACCTGGTTGATATACGATCACAGATTAACGTGTCGCTATAATAAATGAACTATTTCTTTATTGCATTTCTGAAGAAGGATAGTGAAGAAATGTGTTCCAAAATAGATAGAATAAAACAATCATCCCTGTAATTAGCAAGAACAGCCACATCGTGTTTCATATTTTAATCCTGTACGGATTGTGCTAATAGCTTTATTTTTTTTTCTCGTCTCCTCGAATATTTAGTCGTCTTTACATATTAGGATGTAGAAAAAAAAAGAAACATAGAAACAACTTCGTTAAATGTTCGAAATAATCGTCCTGGTTATTCACATTTAATTGCATTCGTTGAATTTATTTTTTGGATTTTTTTTTAATAGTCCTCTTTATTCAAAGAATTTATAAACTTGTTTACAGTACGATTTGAAATCGTTTTGATTTTGCTTGATTAAGTCAAATAACCAAAAAAAAATCATATTGTTTCAGATTCGAAGAATTATTTTATACACATCAAGAGAAATGTAATATTAGACTGTTTAGGTAAGAAAATTTCTTTTTTTTTTATAGAGAATTAAATATACTTCAGTCACTATTTTTTTTTTGATATGTTCTAAGTAATTTTATGAGAGTAAACAAAAATTTTCTTACACCATTTTGATCTTTAAAATTGATTTGTGCATCACGCTCAATTAAATATGAAATTAAATCAAATGTCGAATTTGATGAAGGATATTCAAGTGCATAGATTAATGGTGTTTTTCCATTACGATCTAATATATTAACATATCCACCACATTCAATTAATATTTTAGTTAATGTTCGATCACCAAATGAACATGCAAGATAAATATCAGAACATAGAATACCACCAGAACGTGTATTTGAATCAGCACCAAGCTTTGCAAAAAGAAAAACAAATGAAATCATATAGAATATTGGGTGAATCCGCCAGGTTTCGACCACTTTGTGGAAAAAATTTTTTTTCTTATTTTGATAGTCTAGTTAGACGGAACGTCGTCAAAAATGGTCTGAGGTACTAATTAAAATTCTTTTGAATATACGAAGTACATAGATTCAGATCATTTTTTAGGAACAACTCAATACATGTACACACACACACACGAAATGAGTTTCACATATACTTTTTCAACGATGAAACAAGCATTTATATTTGTTGCTTCGACTCATACAAGTCAGAATAGATCACTAATAAGTAGATTTGAATGTCTTTTAAATTGTTTAAGAACTTCCAGTGCTTCATTTCTTAGGAAAACTGTATTTGAAATAGAAAGTCGGACAATCTTGAAGAATAAAAATAAGAGTAGCTAATGAAATTTGTGCAATATTATTTCGCTTTTTTTTCGATATGAGAACGTATTCTTTATGGCTCTAATTCACTCCAGTTAGGCAACTAGGTTGACACTAATTCGATGTTAGAGATGAGCACTGCGGATGTAACAGATGGATGATTAAAGTTTAACTACATAATACAAGGTGGCCCATAAGTAAGGAAACCGAGAAAAAAAAGTCAATATCTCCATTACGGCTCAAGCAAACGAGCTGATTTTTTTGTCAATGATAGAGACATGTTCAAGCTTCATGTTCATAAAGACAAGCCTAGAGAGATCCTTTGTTAAATATCACTAGTGATCTCAACAAAAAAACGTTTTCTTTTTCGCAGATAGAAAAAAAAACAATATGCTTAACAAATGGTCTCTCTAGGCATGTCTTTATGAATATAAAGCTTGAACATGCCTCTATCATTGGTAAAAAAATCAGCTCGTTTGCTCGAGCCATAGTGGAGATATTCAATTTTTTTTTCGGTAAAGTGACCATTTCTTTCTATACAAGTTGAAAAAATGTAATTCACATACTCAATAAAACAAAGTTTTATCAATGCCCATTGATTAGTAAGAAAAAAAAAACATTTAGTTACATTTCTACAGATAATAACGATGGTCCATCATATAGAGCAGAAAGAAATAATTTATTCATAATAATAGCACCACACTATTTACATTTTCATGATCGCGATGATATATGATGCTAATTTCTATGACAATCAAATTTGTTCATCGCATGAAAATGAAGTCATCTTCTAAATGACTACCATTTTCTTAAAGTGAATGAAAGGTTGAAGTTTTAATATTGAATTACATTCTCAAATAAAGCAAAGTGACTAATGACTCTAGAGGATCGAGTTTGAACTGACATTTGAAGTTATTAGAAATTGATAAACATAGTGAATGTTTGATACTAAATAAATCTCTCAATCGATGATAGTGTGATAAAACACAACCGAATCACAAGATTGATCAATACGTCACTTCGAATTATTCAATTAACAAATGTTCTCTCGCAATTTTCAAGTCGAAAATCTCCCATAGAGAAATGTGTGAAGTGATTGAATCTGGAGAGTTTCTTATTTGTAGAACTAACAATGAACAACAAACTAAGGATGAGTCTAACGTTTGACAAATTCACATTTTGTTTCTACGCAAAATAAAAAAACTGAAATATGCAATATATTGCTTTTATTTTTTACAAATTCGATATACAATATGTTAGAAATGTACACAAATTTTGAAGTCAATATATTGATCATGAGTTACATAATAGTTCGAAAAAGAAGAAGACATTTCTTCTTTGTAAATTTAATAAATGAAGATTAACAAAAATAGTAATGTCTTGAATAATCAATTGAATCCGAATAAATATAATATGAAAAATTAACTTGAATAAATAAGTGTTAGTAA